AAAATTAATAATTAAGAGTAATAATAATGAAATATCCATACTAAAAAATTTTAAGCGGTTATATTATGCAATTTCCAATTATCATCAGTTTTTTCTTTGTCCTTATATTCTAAGATAAATATATTCTTTTATTTAAAAATGCATAAAATATTCCCTTTAAATACTTTAATTTTTATTTCAGGGTTCATCTTAATTATTTTAGCAGCAAATTTTTCACTTACATATCATTAAGCTTTGATGTTGCTTAGATCTTGTCTCTTTTTTCACTAAATTCCCTCAGCACCAAGGACAGTGCCTGATATTCCGGAAAAAAGGATTCAGAAAGTGTGTTGACAGACAAAATGAAAGATTGGCTGAATGAGTGAATGAATGAATGATTCTATAAATAATTAAATTTATTATCATAAGTGATGCAATATATATGCATATTTACATATGACACTTATTTTCCTCTCTTGTGTTCAAGTGTAGAACTAATTAATTTTATATTTATTCATAATAGAATTACTAAAACTCCCTGAACTCTTTGCAAGTAAAATAATAAAGCTTACACTAAATTACAATCTATCACCAATATTTTTAGAGAGAAATATTAGAGAGCATTTTTCTTAAACCCATGTGGTTGTAAGAGTATTGTTTTATAAATAAAATAGCATTAGTAAATAAATAACAAAGATAATATCAACAATCAACACAATGTATAGCATCCAAACGCTAAACCAAATACACATCCCCTTTTATCTGTGCTTCCTGCTATCTGCTTACCAATTGCTGTTTGTTGCTAACTCAGAGTTAACTGTAATCAGATTTCTTCTGAGCCTTTGCGGGAAATTGTAACAAAAAGACACCCTTCACTTTTCTTTAGTCATGAATTTATACTGACACCTTTGGGATTCAATCTGTCCTCTCCTCAACTCAGGCTACTGATGCTTCATTTCAAAGTCTCTTACCTAAGATTTTTCATCTCTGCATCTCAATGTTCTGGTCCTATTTGTCTTTTGTCTTGACTTACAATGCTTGTACTTTCTAAATAAATAGCTGGCTTACCCTGTTCTTAATTTTAGTTATCTTCACACAATATTGTTTGTTTGTTTGTTTTCTAAAGTGCATATGCATTTGCTAGAGAGAGACAAAAAGAGGGGGAGAGAAATAAATCCCAGGAGGGATGATCATGCCACAATATCTTCTGCTTCATCCTCCACTCGGGATTTTGGGCAGCCATGCACACATGCCTGAAGTACTTTCCAAGTTGCCAGGTCCAGGACTCAAACAATGCATTCGGCTTGTGGGATCCAGCCTGACCCTCTATTCCACCTGGTTGGCCCTACACAATTAATTTTTAATATAAAAGTTGTGTATATAAATTTCTTAATTTATTTCCCATGTGAAATGTCCAATATGAAAATTATATCTGATCTATCATCTCTCGATATATCTGTAAGTATGTATAAAGAGAAACAGAGTGAGAGACCGAGGGAAGAAGGTAAGAGGAAGAGAGAGAGTTGTGGAATTTTTTTTTTCCTATTTATCTACTGAAATATATGAAAAGCTATCCTATGGGTCCAGTCAGATTAAAACATTACGATGAAATTCAAAAAGAGAGGAAATAGGTATCACCAAGAGTAGCTTTTTTCCCCCACAATGTAGTAAAATGGTCAAGACCCCACTACCACATTCACTGCCCTGCCCTTCCCCGTCCCTTCTGATAGATGGCCTGCCTGCTGTGTCTAGCCTCCTTTTAGAATAACACTGCCTAACTAGAAGGCAGCCTGTTTAAATTTAGAGAGAGGAAAGCGTTATAGACAGAGTTTGAAAGACAATCTCCGGAGATGACTACAATGTGCTTCCCCTCCCCAACACTTTCATTTACAATCCTGTTCCAGAGAACTAAATGTAGTGTTTGTGCAATTTCCTTAGTGTTGGTACTGGAGGAATCAGGCAGGCAATAAAATTCAGCCTGGGAAGAGAATCTTGTGACTTATTGAAAAAGCCTGGGAATTAAATCTGTTTGTCAAAGAGCTATACTTCTTATGGCCACCCATTGTTTATTAGCTTTCTAATAATTAAAACCAAACAAATATGGATTACACGGTCTTGAAGGACCTTTTCAAAGGACTTGGCTAGATATTTTCTATAATAGAAGGTAACCAGCAGAAGGGAATGCTGTATTTTACTATTTCAAGTCTTAGATCAAAGTTTATGTGTCATTCTCTATGTTTCAGCATGTGTGTATAAATAAACAACTGAGATAACAGCTAAAGACTAAAAAATGGGGTGAATCCTTCATCTATGGAAGTTTTAATTTTAATTTTACATTAGTTTGTAATTTGCAATAGAGCAAATTGCTGGAGAGAGACAGACAGACAGAGAAGTGAGAAAGCATCTAGGGCATGATCATGCTGCCACTTCTTATCTTTCGTTCTCCTCAGAGGAATTTTGGCAAACACTCACAGGGGGTCCAGTGCCTTGTTCAAGCCACTGGGTCTGGAACTTGAACCACATAGTGGTTTATGTGGGATCAAGCCACCTCAGCCACCATGTCACTGCTGGCCCAGGAACCCACAAATTTTATGGACCAGCCTAAATTCTCCACAATAGTGTTGTCATAAACTTTAATGAACAGTATCTAATTCTGAAACAAATCCTATTTCTTGGGAAGAAATGGTTGCTAGCTAATTAAAATTTGAATCTCAGTGTGATTTGAGTTTTATTACATGATGAACTTTCCTGTATATGTAATCAAGACCAGTAGAATAAGAGCGAGCGTACAAAACATTCAGCCAGATACTATTTCTGCCTGTAAGGAATGGATGTGTATGGCTGATAGAATTATAAATGTACAGTAATGCATCAAAGGATGCTTGTCTGCCAGGGAATATATTCTGTCCCTGCAGTTACCCTCATATTGTCTGTAAACCATTCCAATCTTGATGAGTTTAGCTTACTTTATAAAAATGGGTTCAATACTCCAAGAGCAACATTTTGAAATGAAAATAATACGACACGACATATTAAAATCTTAAAATATTACATGTGATAGTCTCAGATAGTTTTGTTTTTGTTTTGTTTTGTTTTGTTTTGTTTTTTTATGGTTTGTTTTTGGAGAGGTTTTTGCTATAGGGCAACAGAGAGAACCCGAGAGGCAGAAAGCGAGAAATCACTCCCCATGGGAGATGGCCATCCATAATCCCTTCTTCTCCATTCTCCTCTCAGGATCGTGGGTACACATCTCCAGGCACCCGGCGTGAGTTTAAGCCACCGGGTCTGGGACTTGAACCGTGGTCGACTACATGGAAGTCCAGTGATGTAGCCATTATGCCATCTGTTGGCCCATCAGTTAATATTTTATATGAATAACTTCTTGAATTGAGGGATAAAGTTCAGGACTGAGATATGGGACAATAGCCTTAGCTCTTGTACTGAAGTATGTCTCATTCAAGGTAGCAGATTGAGTTGAGGATATCATGGTGAACACCTCTGTTTGCCATTCCAGATTCAATGTGTACTTTTCCTAGACTTTGCTATCTGGAGTTTGATTACTTAGGCCGACTAACAGGAGACTGAAGGTCTCAGGGAAATGAGCTTGGGTTTTCCTCCTCATGGGTCCTCCACACCCCACACGGTTCCTGCCAAGTCCCCTCACTATACAGTCCACGTGTCTCCAGATCTCTTGGTCCCTTCAGCTTTAACATGGGAACTGCATCTCTCTTTTTGCAGCACTTTCCCATTACTATGGTTTCCTCAGAGATCTTTTGTTTGTTTTTGTTTTCTTTGAGAGTTTTTTTTGTTTGCTTGTTTTTTGTGTTTGTTTGTTTTGCTATAAAGCACATTTGCCAGAAAGATAAAGACAGAGAAATAGAAAGTGAGAAATCACCCCCAAGGAGGGACAGCCATGCCGCATAAACAGAGTAGGAACTGAGATACTCCTGTAAGAAATGCCTTCACTCCCATCATCCACCTGCACACTCATAGCTTCAGAGGGCACCACTGCAGATTGTCACCTGGGAGTGCTTTGTCTCCGGCCACTACAGCCTCTTCAGATTAACCAACCCTCCAGGCTGCTGAAAACCTCCTGTCCTCTCTCCCTGTCCACCTGTGAATGCATGTCCAGATAACGGCCTGGCACACCTTTTTACTTTCCACTTTTTTTTTTTTTCTGTGAAGCCACTTATGACTCATGACATAGCTCCAGGAAGAAATGACTACTCTCTGTATAGGATTCA